GCTTCCAATTTCTAATCCTGTGATCTCAAAATCCCTCCAAGATGCGATTTTTTAAAATTTATTTATCTGTTGATAAATTTTGCACCCAATATCTTGGATTGGGCCCAATATTTTGAGCACTTATAACACATGTCTGAACGCAGAATTTCATGGGGATTACGAATTTGATACTGAAAATTAGTGGTCTCATTTAAGAAAACTACTTTTTTCATTGTATGGCCCAACATTGGGCTCCGGGCCCAATTTTTTGGTTTCAAAGATGTACATCTTTTTGTTTGGAACAACTTTTGTCTTGAACATTTTTTACAAAAATTCGTACTTTTCGAGATATTTGCAACTTTCCATACTTTTGGAACACCCTGTATATTTTGGAAATGAAATTTTTCTAAAATTCAATTATTTTTCAATAAAAATTGTTCTTAATATAATTATTGCCACAAAAATTTTAGCAATTTAATTTTTAAAACTTCTAATTTAAAATCAGCTGTAATTCAATTCTTCTTTAAATTATAATTGTAATTTTTCGAAAATTAAATTATACGTGTTTGTATATTAATGATTACAAAACATGTATTTTGGAAATGGAAATTTAGTTTGATTTTTAATTTAATCTTTATTTAATTTAATTAATTCAATTTTATATTTGAATTTTAACTTCTTGTGATGAATCTGGTATTATTTTTTTGATAGTCTTACGATTTTTTAAAACATATGTTGAAAAAAATTTACTTTCCAGTAATAAAGTTCTAATCCGTTTTTCATTCTTCAAAAAATAGGTGACGTGTAAATAATAATTACATTATTTGCTACTGTTTTTTAACATACCGTGCCACTTTTGCCACTATTTTTCATTGCGGAACTGAGTCCGTCGCCTGTATTTATCACTTCCAATTCTGTTCACGTTTCTTTCGCTTAACTTTAGAAATTGTTTTAAAAATTTCAATTTGTACAAAAATTAAATTAGTAAAAACATATTTTAGAAAAATCAAGAGATTTTTACGTTATTAAATTACTGAAATCATGTGAAAATTGAAATACAAATTTATCAAAAATATGTATTTTAGCAATCCACAAATTTTTATTTTATGAATTCATTTCGTTCTAAGTTGACACCTATCAGTATTTTTTTGTATATATTTTTAAGTTGGCGACATTTCAAATAAATTTAAAACAAAGAAAAGTAACAGAATAGACAAAAGCTGTATCCTTAGAATTCTGTAAAAAACAAATAAATACACTCAGGTAAACACAGAAAAAAGTACTTGGTCTGGAATGAAAATTACTTTGTTTAAGAATTTTTTTGTAACCAGATATTAATTTGCTCAATAACAATTGTATCATTATTAAACTTTTTGCATCTGAAAAAGTTTTTATGCTTCTAGAATCCGTTGAAAAATTTGAAAAATACTCAAAAAAATTATTTAATACTTTCAAATGAAAAAAGTCTGTGGCAAACTTTCAAATTGGAAAAATTTCCAGCGAAAGAATTGTTTATAATAGTTCAATGAAATTTTCCTAAAAGATTTTAAACTAATTTGATTAATCATTTAGAATTTATAACAGTTTTACTTTTTGGTACGCCGCGATAGGCCCGGCCGTGAGCATAGTAATAGTGGCGTGATGCTTTATATCCTGGATATTTAGTTATTTTTAAAGATTTTTAGTTTTTAATAAATTATTTTAATGTTTTTCAATGTACATTTTTAAACAATTTTTAAAAAATATATTTTTTATTTTTTGTATGTATCATATTTTATTAATGTTTCAAATTCAATATTCATTATTTTAAAGTTTTTGATGTTTTTCTCTCGCTATACATATATTCTTTTATCCCCTATTTGTAAACATAAACATAACTATTCCTATATTATTGCGTTTCTTTAGAAGATATATTGTTTTAATTTTACAAATATTTTATTATTTAATATTATTATTAAATTAAATTTATAATAAATATTATTGTCTTAATGTTTTAGGATCTAACCTTTCCTCTTTAATAGGAAATACTCAAGTCTATGTTCCCGGCCGGGCCTAGCGCGACGTACCAAAAAGTAAAACTCTTATAAATTCTAAATGTTTAATCAAATGAGTTTAAAACCTTTTGGAAACACTTTATTGAACTATTATAAACAATTCTTCCGCTGGAAGTTTTTCCAATTTCAAAGTTCGCCACAAAATTTTTTCATTTGAAAGTATTAAACAATTTTTTTTTGCCTTTAACATAAATAAATTAATAAAAATGTTAGTTTTTATTTTAATTTATTTATTGTTCAACAAACACTTTTTGGACACTTTGATGAGTAAATCCTCCGAAATTGAAGTCAAACAGTCAAAAAATTTCGGATTTATGACGAGTTGAACATAAAATTGAATGAAATATTACGTTATAAAAAAAATCAAGTTTTGCGCAATTATTTTGAAAACAATTCACTTTAAGAAAAAACTTTATTGACAAAAAAGAGGCGTAATTGTATTCCCTACAGGGATATAATATTCAAAAATCAAAATTAAAAAAAAAATTTTCATGTAAGGGGCCAACTTAAAGCGCTGGATTTCACGCGTATGCCCTTCTACGATCGTGGTTCAAACGGGTTATTTTTTTCAGGTCTTCGATAACTCTCTTTACTTTGGGAGCCAGCTTGCTTGCCTCCACAAAGAGACCGTTCCATAAAAAACTGAAAATTTCAAGATTCGACAGTTTGGAGTCCAGCGAATTTTTGAAGCTGGAGTTTTTAATGATTGTTGGTACTTGTTGAGCTTTCAATTTTAAAAGTGATCGGATGGTATATTTGTTTCCTTCTACAATAACTTCATTCCCACAAGTATTGAGTCGACAGGAAAGACCTCTGAAAACTCGTGACTTCATTCTTAATTGTTCTATTTCTCCATTCAGGCCATGTTCTCTGATAATCTCCTTATGATTAAAATATATGAAAAATAAATGAAGAATTTCTTTCACGCTTACTTCAAAATTGATGCTAAGCAAATACTGTATAATGTCAAGACAGTTTTAAAAGTTTTTCGATGAACTCCATCAACTGCTTACACAGGATCGATAAAACTCTGTCATCAAAAATTTCCGAAAATCCGTCCAGGAATACACCAGCTTCTACTGCCTCCCGGATATATTGCACAAAAGCATGGTTTGAAACACAGTGTATCCATTGACCAAATTTCCAAATATAAATTTAAATTAAAGCTTTTGATTTTTTTTAAATATTTCACATTTTTTGGAGAAATTTGAGAAATATTCAAACTTATTTTTTTTTCTTTTTTTGGATCGAAATTTTATCGAAAAATGGTGTATAAAATATCCATTAAAATTTTGTTTTTAGTTAAACTATTATTTGATTGTCAATAACTTGACAAATTTGTTAATTTTTTAGAATTAAAAATGTGAAGCTTAAAAGCAGAGTTTTGAAAGCTTACTTTTTTACCTGAATTGTCAAGAATGAAAAGAGAGAATTAGTATTACAAATAATATAAAAACAGTTACATATTTCTTGAATACTCACTGATTAGTCATTTTAAACGCTTCGAACAAGAAAAGTTTTCAATGACAAATTTAGAAATGTCAATATACAATTTTTGTGGTTAACATTTTTCATTTGTTTTTTTACACACATTCAAGTCATTTGACTGTCTGTACTTGTGTTTGCTGATGTTTACAAAATAAACTAGCAAAATTACACGCGCGCAAGCGCGCGTCCAACTTTAATTGCACTGGTTATTTTAAAATAATAATAATATTAATAATAATAATAATAATAATAATAATAATAATAATAATTCTGCATCAGTGGAGTATTAAATTAATAATAGGTATATTTCTAATTTTCACGTTATCATTTATTTATACACAGAAAAAAATGAGTTTGATGTTATATAAATAAATAAATTAAAGTAAAAATTTTAAAATATAAATATTAAAATTTTAGAAATAAATATTTTTGATAAAGTCAATGTTCGATGAATTTTTTATAATCTTTCAAATTACAAAAAATTAGTTATGCTAAATATTTTTTTGTATTTTCTATAAATATTTCGTTGCAAATAAAAATTTTAAATTTATGTTTTTTTTCAAAAAATTTAATTAACTGATAATTAATAAATATTAAAAAATTATGTAATCAAAAAGAAATTTAAATTAACTGAAAATTATTAATTATATTTTAAAAAGTAGTAAGCAATTAAAAAATATTTAAAAATTTTGAAAAAATAAAACCTAAAAAAAATTTGTAATGTTTTAAACTTTAAACTTAAATTAAAAATTAAAATCAAATTGAAAATTTTTTAAAAAAGCAAACTATTTTTATATTGTTTATAGATAAAAAAATATAACAATTTAATAATTAATAATAAAAACAAATTAATAATAATAAATTTATGAATAATAATTTATAATAAATAATAATGAATAATGAAAAAATAATGAAAGATAAATAATAATTATAAGTTAAAATGTTCTAATTATCTGTAATAATCATTATATTTAAAAAAAATGTATATATAATATAATATATTTATAAATAATAATAAAAATTATATTATAATTGAAACTTTTTTTTCTATAAATACCAAGTAGGAAATATACTGGTGCTGCACACAATGAACAATATTTTTCTTTTACTTTAAACTGTCACTTAGTATATGACTTAATTAATGGCGATGAATAAAAATATCCGTCGTGTTAACCATAAAATATTACGAAATCAAGAATTGTCAAAATTTTAGAAAAACAAAAGGAACAAAATACGACTAACTTCAAGTGTGGACAGACGGAATGAATGAATGAATACGGAAATTATTATAGTTAATTTAAAAATTATTATCTCAAAATATTATATTAAAAACAAATGGAAAAAAATGGGAAAAAAGTAATTAAAAATTAGAAATTTGATAAGCGATACGAAAGAAATTCTCTTTTGAATTTTGTCGAATGAATATTTCTTGAAGTTTTTGCTATAATCACACTATAATTAAACTAAAAAAAAACTTACCCTCGTGTCTAAAATTTAAACTGAGCCCTTCTTGCTCAGAGGCCCAAAATGCATCAGTTGCGAGTCCTCTTGCCTCAATAATGCCCTTATTAACACGTAAATTTTAATTAAAAGTTTCGTTCAATACTCGGACATGAGCGTGGTACAAAAATCCTCAAATCTCAAAGTCGTGTGACGAACGAGAGTCTTGAAATGTTGCAGAACCCCGTAAATTGAGAGACGAGGTATGATAATTTCCTTGGGAACGATATAATCGTCAGACGATTTTGGTAAAACGAGTGGCGGCAATTCGCAATTTTAGAGGCAAAGTGGCTCGGTACTTGTCGATCGTTGTTGACTGAGAAGTAATTTACGTGGTCGTTCATAGGCACCTTTTGAGTTTCCACCTGGTAATAAAAGGAAAACTTTAATTCTACTGTATTAACGCAAAAGAAAAAAAGTAATAAACAGAAAAATTGAAAATACAAATTAATTTTTGTAGATTTTTCAAAAATTATATGTATTTAGAAACAACTTAAAGCATCTTTATTTGAAAAAAAGGAATGACCTTCAAAAATAGTTAAGGTCCTTTGTATCTTCTTCTCTTCTTTTAAGTTTCCACCTGGTAATAAAAGGAAAACTTTAATTCTACTGTGTTGACGCAAAAGAAAAAAAGTAATAAACAAAAAAACTAAAAATACAAATTAACTTTTCTAGATTTTTTAAAAATTATACGTATTTAAAAACAATTTGAAGCATCTTTATTTGAAAAAAAGGAATGTCCTTCAAAAATAGTTAAAGTCCTCTCCAAAACTTAAAAGTAAAATAAAACTGAATTCCACAACGTTTTTCATTTGAAAGAAAAATATTTTTGTTATATTTTTTTTTCGGAAAATTTTTTTTGAAATTTTTTGAACAATTGAAAAACATTGTGGACAACAGAAAATAATACTTTAGGCTGCAAATGTATACTTTTCTGTTAAATCGTTGATTAACATTGTAGAGTTCAACTTTGTAAATTAAATGAATTTTTGAAAATTAGATACATTTTTTAAAATTGAATGGATTTTTTGAATCATAATGAATTTACTGAAATTTAATTAATTAATTAAAATTAAATCAATAAATTATAATTAAATTAAAATTATCGGCATTAATTAACATTAAATAAATAATCACCTGCATTTTTAAACTAGAATTTTTTCCATTCAAATGAATGAAATCTTTCTTTAATTAAATTTTTAGTCAAGTGGAGTCGAAATAGGTGACATAATTTTTAAAAAAGGTAAAAAAAAGTGAAAAGGTTACAGTCTATTATTCCTTATTTAAAAATGAAGGTCCAAAAACAAAATTATGATATCTAGAATCAAGTGAATTTAAAAAAGTTAGAACAAAAACATATTTTTAATTATTATTTATTATATTTTATTATTCGTTCATTACTGAAAAATTACAAAAAATCCTTGAAAAATGATAAAAGAAAAACGTGAAACTAAAAAAAGAAACTCACTCTGTTGTAAAAGATCCTCCTGAACAGAATTCAAGATAAGGAATTCATTGTGCAAAAATTGAAGAACCTTCATCATGTCCCTAATTGTGATTAATGGATAATCGCAACTCCACTGTATCTTCAGGATATTTTGATCGAAGTAACGATCACTCTGAACGTATGATCGCAAAACGTCCGACTTCGGCATGGAATCGACAAAATACAGACTAACGTTTACCGAGTCCTTCTCCTTCTCATCCTGGGTCCGAAAATGCGTTGGTTTCGAGTCCTTTTCCCTTAACAATGTCCTTAGCAGCATAATGTGAATCTCAGTTAAAAAATACATTTTATCCTCACACATAAAGACGGCACAAAAATCTTCAAATTTTTATGGCGTTAGACGAACGTGTATCTGAAAACGTCGCAGTACCTTGTAAATCGAGAGACACGTTCAGACCAACCCTTTGGATTTGTTTTACGTCAGTTTAGGTGTGAAAATTGTTGAGTTTCAAAATCTTAAAGTTGAAAATGTAAAAAAACTTATTTCGAAAAGAAAGAAAAAAAAGATTTTAATATGAATTTTTATGGGTTTCCTTACAAGTTATTAAGATGATAATTCTTTTAAATTGAAGTACACAATAATATTTATAATAATGATAATATTTTTTATTATTGTCATCAACTATTGAATAAAAATGTATAAGAAATGTATTGAAAATATTTACTCACTCATCTTTCAGGTTAACTGTCACTTCGATAAACATGTTGCGCGCGATTATCCATACGCCACTAACTATGGACACTGATAGATGTGTCACGACTTTTCAAAACGTTGCCAAACCGGAAAGACAGCATATAAACAATTGGGTGTACAAATAAAGCCACGACCCAATACGAAACCGCGCAAATATTATAAAGGGCGGACAAATTGATCAAGAATTACTTTTCTATTAAATCATTAGGAGTATTTGCGATAAACAATACAAATAAAGTAGAAAAATAGTAGCTCAAAACCGGTTGAACGCGTTAGAAAAGAAATTAGATAGCAACCCACAATACGCTTTTCAATATTGCCAACAAATGGAGAGAATAATAAAAAAGTATGCCCAGATTTATTAAAACCACTACAGGGCGTTTTGATGATAATCAGACAGAATCCAATCGCGGTCAAAGGCGATATCGCGGATATGTTCCTCAGATTAAAAGTAAGGGATGAAGATCAACACGCCCAACGGTTTTTATGGCACGGATTGAAATATAAAAATTTATATCGTCTATTACATCTTCTTACATTAATTTCTCAGAAAAATGTATTTTTAAAATAAATATCTAATTATTTTTTTGTAGTAGCGCATTATTAAAATTTATTAGAAGAATTAATTTTAAAAAATAAAAAAGTTATGAATTTTTTAGTAAAATGGTCATTTTTTGTGTGAAAATATTAAATTATTTACAAAATTTTGACCGGGGAAAACTTGGAATTTATAATCATAAAAATTATCCCACCCTGATACATGATGACTTCATTAATTTTAGGCTCAAAATCGTCACCCTGTAGGGCTATTTACATAAATAACACAAAAGCGATGGAATTTTTAGGCATTATGCCTAACGCAGTTTCAGCTATAATAAATAACACCTACATGGATGATTTCCATCTTAGTGTAGAAAGTGTAGATAGAAAGTCCTTGGATTGCGGTGAGACACACAATCCAACACATTCACTTTTAATTAAGGGTTAGACAAAATTCCTGCGAAGCTGCTTAAAGAATCCAAAGCCCCAACAAAAAGAGAATTTCTAAAGATAATAATGTCCATTTTTGATCCTTTGGGATTTTTGTCACCATTTACAATCAAATCAAAGATCCTTATGCAGGAAGTATGGATTAGCGGTATAAGTTTGGATGTACCTTTAGCTAAAAAAGAACAGGAAATATGGCAGTCATGGTTAAAAGACTTGTCGCAGATATCAGTCCCTAGATGTTACATTTCCGCGAATAAAAATCTAAAACGGATTGAATTGCACATCTTTTGTGATGTGAGAAAAAAGTCCTACGCCGCTGTGGCCTACTGAAGGTTTGAATCAGAAAACGGGGTAATTGAAAAAAGCATAATCGCTAGCGAGAGTAAAGTGGCTCCATTAAAACTACTCTCCATTCCCAGATTAGAACTTCAAGCCGCGTTACTAGGTAGTCGTCTTTACAAACGATAATGAAAGAGCATAACTTCGTAGTAGATCAGCTACACCTATGGTCAGACTCGCGGACAGTCATACTATGGCCAAAATCGGATCCTAGATTCTATTATACGTTCGTGACTCACAGGTTGGGGGAGATTTGTGATTTAACCTCACCTTCAAATTGGAGATGAGTCCCTACCGACGAAAACCCAGCAGATTATGACACTAGATATATAAAAACCCCTTTAAATTTAAACCAACGATGGTTTCGTGGACCTAAGTTTCTAAGAAAGGGGAAATCCGACTGGCCTAACCAAACTGCCGTTATTAACGATGACACCGCTAATTCCGCAAGTAGCGAGAAAAAGGGTCAGCCTGTAACAATATTAGCATCAGCAGATAAAACGTGCATACCAGATGTTTCCCGTTTTTCGATTAGTCGGGAGTACTTATGCTGTACTTATGAGTACCCTTATGCTGAAGAAACAGTTGCCAGCTATAAGAGCTGATGTTTAGCCAACTAACCCGGGTTAGATGAGGAAAATTTCTTTACATTGTTTCCTTTGTTCTATTTCCCCTACTGTCCCTTTCTTTTAAAATTTTATTACAGGGCCTGATCATTAATTTAGAATACGCATTAAAAGGTACAAAGGAGGACGAGTAGGGACCTTTAAGGAGGTGAAGAGAAAACCACCTAGCAGTAGTCTTCAAAAAACCACAAAGTCAACTAGTGATTTGTGAAAATGCTATAAAATTAATATAACTATAATTCTGTTCTTCTTTTATTTCTTTTTTTTTGTCTGAATTATTCCCAATTCTCGTGATCAATAACACAAAGTTAACTGAGCTTTTAAAAGGATTTGCCTTTTTACTTCTTTATTAGTCGTGCAGACTTTTTTATTTTTTTCATATGCATGACATTCTACGTAATATAACTTAATAATAGACACTAGCTTTTGAGGGCATTAAAGCCTCGGTCTGTGGACAGGATAGATCTAAAAACCCTCAAACTATATTTGTCTTTAATGGCTGAGGTGCTTAAAGCGCAATGCTTCAAGCCCAATGTATCCGAGTTCTATCCCAGCTTCATAGACATTTTTTTATTAATTCTGCATAATTTTAAAAATATAAAATTAAACTTAAAATAAATTTAATACAGTATTATTGTATTAGAACTTCAAAAATATTATCCTTTTCAATGTCTTTTAGACTTTTTTCGGGCATCTTTTGGACCAGACATAGAACCTATTGACGTATTTAATTGTCTTTATGATGTATCGGAGACTACTTTCATTTTCCCCGGATGTCCGCGGACAAGATGAGACGTCTTTTAGACGTTTTTAATACATGCATCTTTTGGCCCACTGAGCAGTAACGGATCAAGTTCAGTTATAATACAAGAGACGATCAGACTCAATTTATTTACCGTTGTCGTAGTGAACTGCCTTGTCGTTGCCATGAACACACTGTACTTAATATTACTGGTTGCTCTAAAGTTTTAAACAAACCTTCGTATGAGCTGTGGAGTAATAAAACCGCGAATTTTATAAATTTAAAAGTTTTTGGAACTGATTGCTTTATTCACATTCTGGGAAAAAAAAACTTCGTTATAAGTTATCATGGTAGGATACGTTGAAAACTGTAAGGGGGTGTTTACGTTCCAAGTAAACAAGACATTGTTTTGAGTAGAGACGTGATATTTAAAAAAGAAAAATAAGTTCTGAATGAAACCAATGTTG